ACTGTAATCAGGGACATTGGAGAAAAAATAATAATCATGGAATACGAGAAAGTAAAGTGGTACACATCTAGTTGGGAAAAGAAATGCATGTTTGAATTGAATTGGTTACACTCTGATTTTATTAGAAATGAATGTATGATTGAGATTATTTAGTAGCAAAATGGCCCCTATTTCATTGCACCAATATTGCCACATGACTAAGATCTATTCAGATTTCTTAATGTCTACTTGTTTGCATTGAGCAGGGTTGCTATTGGATAGGGAAGTTTTGTAACAATCCTTAAAAGCACCCTTAAGTATTTAATTCCATTTCCATCAGTTTTGCTAATACAAGTAATTCTGTTCATTGGATGATCCATGTTTTTGCAGATGTTATGGCCGAGGACTGAAACTGATGTCTTCACCAAATACATGGTGTGATCTTGGAATAAATTATTATAACCAAGTGCAGCATCTTACAGCCACCGACAGTAACCAAAATGAAATCAATGAACTTTTAGAGAGATCAATACAGGTAATTTCTCAAATACAATATACAATATTAAGCCTATTGTTTTGTAGCATCTCCAAGCTATAAAGTACTAGGTTCCTTAGTATAGTATTGTAAGGTTTTTTAATTCAGCTCAGAAATTTCAGAGTTTCAATGAAACTCTGAACACGAGGCTACTGATAATCAGTTTTTATTTTCTGCAAAAAACAAAAAGACTGGACGGCCTTTTTGTCTCCTATCTTAACAGAGCAGGCAGAGAGAAAAACAGGCGCATGCAAAAAAAAAACCTTTTCCAAAAATCTTGTAGCTCACACAGCTTGTACAGAACATTACTGCTACATAGAAACATAATTTCATGTTACGCAAACCTCATAGTTTTTCTCAGCGTTCCGAAACAATAGATCTTAGAAGGGTTAAGAAATACATTTGTTAGGGAATGCTGAAGACACATTTTAAGTTACAAGCAAGGTTACTTGGCAGAATCCACTTTTTACTTTTTACAAGAAATTACTTTGCTAGGCTAAGCTTGGCAATTCGCCTAGAAGTGTTATCTATGCAGTTGACACGTTAGGTTACAATGGAGTTTCTCTCAACAGCAATTTAACAAAAGCTGAATTAGGTCACACTCTGTGTATGCTCTAATCCTTCAGGGACCCTTTCAGTATATAACGTTCAATAGAGTTTTGAATTAACACAGTGTTGAATTACAATACTGAGGTCTCAGTCTCTTCCAGTGCCTGAAAAAAGCAGTGCGATTAGACAGTAAAAACCA